AATTGATTTTCAAAAAGCCCACAAGGCAAACTCTATGGACATGTGCACTTGGAGCATAATGTTTGCATGTTAACCAAAGTATTTGTTCCAGAAAGGAAAAATGGGATTATAACAGTAAGAAGAAGGCCTCTAGGTTCTAACTGCAGCACCACAGCAATTTAAAATAAAAGCTTTTAATATAAGGAGGGCCTCAGCTTCACCCTTGATGTTTTCATATTTTTTAAAAGTTCAAAGACAGATAGGACAAACTATTGAACTGTGCTAATTCTGGGTGCTGAGTTATCATGTCAATGCATTCTATAATTTTCTGAATTTTGGAAATTTTCTACAATAGAAACGTAATATCATAAAATACCTGTTTGTACTTTGAATGACCACTCCCCATGAAGTCCAAGCAACATAGTGAGAGATAGGAAGACCAGGGGCCTCTGCATATTGACCCCCCTCCCTTTGTCTCCAGTCCTCAGGCTGAGAGGAACTACTCAGTGCTGTCCCACACATAAACACGGGGGTCACGAGCACGTGTGCATGTACACACACGCACACCACCGGCACACTCGAGCCCTCCTTCTTGACTCCAGACCTGGTCCATGCGGTCCCCTCTTCGTGGACTCCATCTCCCTCTCTCAGGGTAATTCCTAAGCATCCTTTAGAGCAGCCTCCCTTGGTCTCCAAGGACCTTGCTCCTCTTGGTTTCCAGAACATTTCCCGGTCTCTGTGGCTACACTCTCACGTGCCTGCCTGAACCCCTGTTGCCCTTCTGTGGTCACCCAACAAACTGCCGATCCCCGAGTGCCGCAAATGGGTCCCTTTTGCCCTCCTGTTATTAGCATTTAGAACCAAACAGGGGACCTGGTGGGCATTCATGAGCTCTTCTTGATTCACAAGTGCAGCCCCTGCATGTGGACAACAGGAGACCATCATTCAGTGTGTAAGTGCCACGGGATATACATTTTTCCTGAAGAATGTGACAAAATTCTTTCTTGTTATTTTTTTTCTTTTAATTGATGCATGCCATCTGTGTGTGTGTGTGTGTGTGTCTGTGTGTGTGTGTGTGTGTGTACACAGTATGATGATTTTACACATGTATATAATTGTAATGATCTAGTCAGGGAGATTATCATCAAGACTAGAAAGGTTGTGGGAGGACTAGGAAGAAGTTAGAGAATTGCTACCAAAATATACTTAGATAGGTAGAGTTGTAGTGTTTCCTACTTCTAAGTGTTTCCTAGTTCATAGACCACAACAACTTAGGATAGATTTCAAAATAACTAGAAGAGTGGGAAAGTTCCCAGCACATAGAAGTGAGGTGATTTTATACTGTGTGTTGACAGTTCCGGAGTGTGGCTCATGGACAGCGTAATCTGGGGAGAGAGAAGCCGTGTCCTGAGCTCCCTCTGCCCATTAATAGCTGTAGGACTTAGGACAATCCATAATTCAGCTTCTCTAAACCTCAGAAAAACAGGAATGACATAACATCTTTGAGAGTTATCGAGAGCTGTTCCATGAGCTAAAATCTGGCAAGCATGTTGCCCCTGGTGAATTTGGTATAAATCATTAAACGAGGCTTGGCAGATGTTCAGTGCAGTCTGATGAATGGAGGTGAGGGCCTAATGACAGGGATCAAGGGTCTGGGAAGAACCAACTGAAGAGGAGAGTTGTGAGTAATTTTGTAGGAAAGAAGAAAGATGGTCATGTTGGAGAAAAGCCCAGAAGGGTTTCCAGATCAAGAGAACCGCCATTCATACAATGCTTCCTAATAGGGCTGGGGAGCTACCGACTTATCTGCCCTGGTTTTGAGCACACTACCAAGCAGCTTTGTCTCTAGAGGAGGCAGGAGACAATGAATGGCGCTAGAGTTCATGCTAGACGCTATGGGTGGCGGGAAACCCCACGCTGAGGTCGGCAGGAGACAAGCAGGAGGTGGAACTGGGTCCTATTGTAAGGAGAGGAGGCTTTGGCTGGTAGCAGGGCAGCTTTACCACTGAACCTCAATTCCTTCTTCACCAAATGGAAGCAAACTGTCCCACATGGTTGTTGGAAGGAATTGAGATCACATTTTTAAGGAACTGAACTCGGTGCCTAGCCCTGGTGGGAGTTGATGATTGGCACGTTGAGGTTATTACCGTGACTGCCATGGTGTGGCTTGATGGGATGGTGTGGTTTCAAATGTACCTGAGTCCATCTACACTAAAAATGTCCAACCCGAACTCACCTGCCCAGTGCTTGAACCCACTGAGGCGGAGACACTCCGAAGTTGTGCACTAGAATTCTTATAGCACTTTCCCAAAAGCAGAGTTGATGGAGCCAACCCAGGCCTCCTAAAGCAGTCTCCCAGGAAACCCATCTTCTTTATCTAATCTTGTAACCGAACTGAGAACCAATGGTTGAGGTATCTGCTTTCTAAATTCCCCTGATAGAAGGCAAATATCATTTGGGACAGGCACAACTAAGGGATAGCTAGCTTTTCCCATCTGGAGCGAATTCATTGATGGCTTATCAGATACTGGCCGAGGGAGCCAAGAGGAGACTCCTGAGAGCCCAGAGGACACTTCCCTGAGGTCCAGGGAAGATGGAGTTGACACATCATCTCCTCTAGAATGGGCAGATTAAAGTGTCCACATCTCAGTGAATAGACTGAATTACATGAGATGCAGCTGTTTAATATATTGGTGCTCTGTCGGAGTGGACGAGTGGGCTGTGCATGGTGGACGGGTCAGGAAGAGTGCAGACAGGGTGCGGTCTGTGTAGGGCATGGAACTGGCTTCCTTGAGCTCCATTGGTGGTCAGAGCAGAAAGAAGGCATACAAATATGAATAAGCCTAATGTTAAAGACAGAATCTGCCCTTCAGCCACTCACCACACCCTGTGGGATGAAACCAAGCTCCTCTGCTGGATGACCGTCTCAGATTCCCAGGGCTGACATAACAAAATGCCACCGGCTGGGTAGTTTAAAAGAGCAGAGATGTAGTCTCACCATTCTGAAGGATGAGGGTTGGAAATCAAGTGTCAGCAGGGCCATGCTCCCTCTGAAGGCCATGCATGTCCCTAACTCTGGGAGTTGCCACAAGTCCTGGTGTTTCCTGTCCACACAACCCTCTGGTCTTCATATGATTTCACAGGGACATCAGGCACTGGATCTACAGCCTAGGCTAATCCAATAGGATCGATCTAACCCATTACATTTTCAACAGGGTCACACTCTGAGGTTCTGGGTGGAGTGGAATTTTAATGTGAGACTGTGACAATCCTCAGTTCCTCTTCCTTTCTGTGTAGGTACTGACATTGATACTTGGGCTTTTCATGATTTGCAATAAATGATTTTTCACAGGTCTGTGTCTCTACCAATTTATGAGGGCTTGAGGGCAAATCCAATTTCTTCCGTTTCTATTCTGTTTTAGCATTTTACATCTTTCATGTCCAGTGTGTAGCAGGGCCAGGCTCCTATCTGGAGCTCAGTGAGTGCCTGGGGAAATTAATTTTTACAAGATGGGACAAGGGGAGCTCTACACTTGAGGGTGCCAGAGTCTGGGGGAATGCCTGAGGCCTCTGGAGGCCAGAAATCCACCACTTAGGGCAGCTGCCCTCAAGTGCATCAAATAGCTACCGTTCCCCATCACAAGCTCTTCCCTGTTAAAGCAGAGGTGCTGAGTAAAATACACAGACACAGAAAGACAAGTAGGGCGTGTTTTCTCTTATACATGGAAAGTAAAATAAGAAACGAAGTAGAAGATGGCTTATCCAGGAACGGGAAGGAGAGGAAAGGAGAAGGCAGAAGGGAAGGTGGACGTGACCGAGGCATGAGATATGCATTACGTAAACGCTGCAGTGAGGCCCATTAATTTGTACAATAATGTATGTTAATGATCATGAGTTTTTTTTTAAAAAAAGAATATGTCTGAAGGGTTGGGCTATAGCTCAGAAGTACAGCACTGGCTTAGCATGCGTGAGGCACTGAAAAAAAATAAAATAATAAGTATGTTCATATTATTTAATTAGGCTGTTTAAGAACTATACAAAAATTAAAATGAAGTATATGTAAAACCTCATAGAGTCCAGCTGTGTCTGCCACTGCCATGAGAGGGGCCGTCCTGTGTGGCGGGCCGCTTGCCTCCAAGCCTCTGGTGGATGGCCAAGGGGCCCGAGAGCAGCGGTCCTTTCTGTCTGACCCTCCATTTAGATCTGCTTTCTCTTTGGGTCTCAGATGGCTGCAGTGGGTTTGGGGGAGCTGGCTGAGGAGGTGTTTGGCAAATTGTGAAAGGGCAAGAGATCCCCAGAGAGAATATTTCCCCCGCTTATCAGAACCTTCCACAGCAGCAGGAGGGGTGAGGGATTGCGAATGGGCTCCCACCAGCATCTCTCCCCACAGAGGCGGAGAGGACGTGGGGTTGGGGGAGTCCTGCTTTCAAGCTCCAAGACGGTTCAGTCCTGAGAAAGAAGAGGCTTTATGAGCAAAGTGTGGGCTTGACCTTCAGGAAGCCCTCCTCACCTACCCCCTGGGGCCGCCCCTTCTCCTCCTGCCCATCATTCTCGGTGCCTATTTCCAAGCCACTGCTGCCACACTGGGTCCACAAGTTACAGGGCAGAGTCCTGCCATGAACTGAGCAACCACAGAGGCCCCTCTTCACCCCAATTCCTGCAATCGGGCCAGAAAGATGCCAGTCATGTTGCTCGGGAAAGCAGGCTTCTGACTTTTGACAGACAGCACAGGAACTGCTTGAAGAGCCTCCAAGGGAAGATGGCACGGAGCTCACAGAGCTGGTTTTTAGGAAATTGAGTACCCCTGCTTTTGCCTCCATTTCCTTCCCCATAACCAGTCTGTTACCCTTTGAAGAGCACTCAGTGAGCTTTGGAAGTTCTGGATGTTTTGGTTGCCAGGGTGATTGGGGGATGCAACACAGGTTTCAGTGATAAGGGAGGGTCCAGGCCACGGGGAGGGAGGGGGCTGTGACATGTCCTTGATTGGGGAAGGTTTTAACATTCAGGCCTCCCTCTTGTAGGTGGAGCTCCTTGTGTTTTAAGTCACCTTTATTGTCCTTCCCCTGCTCATCCGTTTGTGGCTGACAAATGAAAGAGCAGACTAAATCAGGTGACCCCTGGAACTGGACTCAAGGAACAGGAAAAGTGACGGTGAGGGGGAAAGGTCGGTCGGTGCATATGCCAGGAGCTGGAGTCCTGTCCTCCTGGGAACATCTTAGAACCTTGCAGAACAAACTGCAGAACTGAGCCACTGAAGGTCGGCAAACCTGTGGCATTTATCTGTGGATCTGCTGCCCTGTTGGCTGGGAGCTGATCTGGGGGGCATTAAATACCCTGCACTTTGGGGTTGGCTTGAGTTGTGCTCAAAAAAAAATTCTCATGTTTACATTCACTGGGGCCCTGTGACTCTTCCCCTGATCAGTTGCTTGGCTTTAATAGCTACTTAATGGGGGAGTTAGAACCTTATGAGTTCCTTTAAAAATGTACTTACATGCTACGTTTTAGTCAACTTTGTGTTGCTGACCAAAAAAACATTCCCACATTACCTTGTGATCCAATTGGCCTAAGAACACTAATAACGTCCCACTTCGTACCTAGGGAAATGCTGTCTCTGAGACAGTGCCCAGCATTCGAGAGCCCTGTAAGAGGTGCTCTGAAGTCACAGAAGAAAAAATATCCAAGCTCTCTTCACTTGAAAGCAAATTTATAGACATCACTAATGGAGAACAGAGGCCCACGAGGAATTGCTAAGAGGCTGAGCAGCAGCCTGTGTTGCCGTTGGTGGTAGGGAACCCTCTCCTGCAGACCAGGGCCATGCTGCTTTGCTCCATGGACATCAGGCGTTGGTAGAGGCAACGTGAGCAAAAGCATCAGGGCCACGTCTGAGCAGACTTCAGTGTGATTGCTGGCCTGGCATGGCCATCTCTGTTCTCCTGAGTTTTAAAGATGAGAGTGCCCCACGTCGGGGCTGCACCTTCAGTGTAGATCCCAGAATGAGAAGACATGTGGTCAGAGCCAAACCGAACCGCAGCAGCCAACATGCCCCGTGATCCAGAAATACGTTCTTCCTGTTGCAGCTGAGATCCAGGGGCTAATGCAAAGAGAGAACCTCATCTTTTAAGAGTGAAACAAAAATGATTAGGACTTTAAGCCAAATATCAAAAAGTATTAACTTGAGGAGTCTCTTGGAATTAGCTGGGTTTGGGGAAATACTATTGCTTAAGTTGGGATCTTAAATAATCAACATTTACTTTCAGGGAGAGAAATGGCATTAGGTGCATTTGCCTTGAAGAAGCTTTTCATAATTATTCTATCTTGCTTTCTTTTAAAAAAAATCCAGGAAGTGTTTTTATTCCTGTTTTTAGAGGATAATGAGGCTAGAAGGAGCTTCTATAGTTAAACAAAAGGCACTCACTCTGACACCATTAAATATGGACTACAAGATAATTAGTAAAAACAACTACCCTCATGCTCCCAGAAACATTGCAAATGTTGCTTCCAACCAAAATGCAAAAGAAAAAAAAATTCTTGGATTTTTTTAGAACATATTTCTTAGGATACTTCCCCAGTGATGCAAAGATGAAATGAAGGCTCTTTGAATTCCGTCAAACAGAAAAAGTAAGGAAATGACTCTGAGACCCTCAATGACCCTTGGAACCACCTCTTGGGAGATCATTTCTGCTGGCCACGGTTTTACATGGTCTCAGTCAATCAGTGAGGGTCTTGGCAGCCTCTCCTGTGCCAAACACCATGCTGGGCATCTAGTGCTCACTCCATCACTTTCCGACACCATCCCCTTTAACTCCCATAAACACTGTGACATGGTGTCAATCTCTCATCAAGGACCTGAACATTATGACATTCAGGGCCCAAGTTGCCTGCTGAGGCCACATGGAGATTCGCGCCACCCCATTGGTATATTCTGCTTTGTATCTTCTTACTCCAGTACATTATTGTATTGATGTCCAGGGCCACTCTGCAGAGAAGAGTTAACACAGCAGCCTGGGACAGCTCATCCTTAGAAAGTCCTGCTTCCAAAGTGGCCCTTCACCAAGTGCCCAGGAACTTGAAATCTGGAGTGCTCCCACCATTTCCTATGATAAGGGTGACTCGCTGTTCCTCAGACCTTAGTACGAACCATGTGGTTCATGCCGAGCTCCTGCTCTCCTGCTGGGACCTCCCCCATGCCAGGCGGGGGGCACCTGTGTGACCAGCCTCAGGGAGAACTCTGGGCACATCTCCAATGACATGTACCTCGTGCCCGTCATCGCCACTCGTTGTAGAGGAATTGTGCCTTCTCCATGTGACTCCCCTGGACTCCTGACATCCACTTTTCCCTTTGCTCACACTGCTTTGTGTCTTTTTCTGTCATAAGTCATATGACCATCTGCTGAGACCTGTGTGTGACTCCTCCTGGGGAGTCATCAAACCTGGAGTGGCCTTGGGGACCCCCTGGAAGTCACTTCCTTGTCATCTCAGACAATAGACCCTCAGCCCAACCTCCAGTCATGCATTTGGAGGAAATGATGGGAGTTCCGCTGAGATTCTGAGTAAGACGTGTGTTCGTGTGAGTGTGTGTCCATGTGAGTATGTTCCACCCTCCACTCTGCTAGACAGTGGTCCACCCAAAGGCTTGAGCTAAAGCTCTGCGTGTGCCCTGCAGCGACTCCACTGCCCACTGAAGGCCAAGCACATCAGCCGGATCAAGGGGGCATCCGTCACCTGACCCTGTCACACCTTCAACTTTACTTCAGATTCCACTCTATGGCAAGCTGCTGTGGTCCTGTAAACACACAGCTGCCTCAGCCTGTGCCCTTTAGCCCATGTCCCTCCCTCATCCTGGGGTATGCCTCCCCTTCTCTAAGAAAATTGCTCAGTTGGCTGCCATGGGGTGTCATGAAACTGTGGTGTCTAGTTTCACTCAGGCTACCATGACAAAACAGACTGAGTCTTCAACAACAGCATTTGTTTCTCACAGTTCTGGAGGCTAGAAGTCTGGGGTCAGAGAGCCAGCATGTCGGGTTCTGGTGAGGACTCTTGTCCTGACTGCAAATGGCCACCTTCTCATTATGTGCTCTCGTGGGCTTTCATTGGTGTTATGGTGTAATACGCGGTGTCCCACAAAACGCCTGTGTGAATGCAGAAGGAGAAGTGATTTGATTATGAGAACTACACCTGGTCAGTGGTTCAACCCATTTGATGAACGGAGAGTCTGAAAGGACTCCTGCTCTGGGTAGTAACTATAGGCAGGAGAGTGAGTCTGGAGGAAGTAGGTGCTGGGGTGTGCCCATGGGGATTATATCTGGTCCCTGACTTCCCGCCTCCTCCCTCTGCCTCCTGGCTGCCCCAAGGTGAGCTTTGGGGTATACCCCAAAGCTTTTTTTAGGCATACCCCAAGCTTTCTTCCACCGAGCCCTTCCACCATGATGTTCCGCCCTGCCTCAGACCCAGAGCAATGGAGCTGGCTCACCGTGGGCGGAGCCTCTGAAACGTGAGCCCAAATACACTCTTCCACCTCTTGCAGGTATTTTGGTTACAGCAACGCAAAGCTGACAAATAGCCTGGGTGTGTGCACATGGAGAGGAAGCACGGTGTCTTCCTCTTCTTATAAGGTCCTCGTCACGTCACGGTCCCACCCTCAGGACCTCATTGAGGCCTAATTACCCGCCAAAGGCCCCATCTCCAAGTGGCCACACAGGGGGTAAGAGCTTCAGCCATGAATTTGGACGGGAGACACCCGGTGTTTAATACGTGGACAGTTTAGGAGGCCCCTCTTCTCCCCCTCCACACTCACTCCTTTCCTAGATGACAGTTCTGCCCAGCAGGGGGTTGGCAAGGGAGAAGAGGGAAGCAGCCCCTCCCTCCAGAGAGTCACAGCTGCCAGGATTCTCTTCAGGGGAACCTTCCTCCTCTACCCTGTGTTCTTTGATCTTCACTTTGCTGACTATCTCCTGTATCCTTTGATCTCGCTCCACTATTCATAAAAACCTCGTGATCAGGCACTCCTGTGCATATGTATTATTTATTTATAAGTTATGCATATTCTAGTATATAATGCATAATATAACACATACACCAAAACACATTTTTTAAAGGCATGGATAAAATAGAAAAAAAAAAAAACAGGAGAAAAGTCCTAAGCGATCATCCCATATCAAAATGGACCACCTACCTGTGGTGTGAACCCAACAGCCTTTGGAGATCTCTGGTCCCCAGGAGGGCCCCAGCTCCCCTGAGCAGCTGAGACCAGCCTCACCCGGACTCACCTTTTGGAGTTCTCTGCTCACCTGTATCTCTCCACTGGAGGTCAGCCTCCTTCATCTCCCTGTGCCCAGTGATTGTGGCACTACCTGGCACATAGGAGACTCTCTGTAGGATTTTCTGGAAATAGTGACAAAATGAAGCATGGATAGTGTTTCTAGGGTGATTATGATTACAGTGCTGGGATTTGGGGAAAGTTTTCCTAGACAGGCCCTCCCAGGGTTCCTTGGTGAAAGCACCCAGGGTTTGGGGTCTGGAGCCACATGCTGGAAACAGTTTCCTCGGTTCCCCTGAAGCCAGAGAAGAGTGAAGCAGTGCCTTGGGAAGCCTTGAATAGAATCACCTTGGGGGCTGGCTGGTGATAGTCACTGCCGAGGGTTTTAATGCTGCATCTTTAATCCTACCCACGCTTCATGATGCCGATACCTTCCACTCCAAGGAAAAAGGAACTTAGACACATAAAGCAATTTTCCCAAGGTCACGGATAAAGGGGCAGAGCTAAGACCATGATCCAAGGGTCACCTCTGTAGCCACTACTCCAAAGGAATTGGCAAAGGACCCTTGTATTAGCTGTGTGTGACAACTTATGAATTTATATTTGTGGAAGGAGGTCTTAATTTTGATGAAGTGCTGTCTTTAAGCACATCTCCATCACAAGGACACTCTCACACTTGGGAAATAATGGGATGATGGGCAACTAAGTGTTCCAGAATGTGGTGACTAGAAAGCACCAGAGCTCAGGTACTTGGTTTTGCTGTTCCTTGGCTCAAGGTGACCCAGCTAGTCAGAAATAGAACTATAGCCCCAGCCCCCTGACTGCTATATCACTCCCATACCATGCTGCTCCACCCCTTGAGAAATTGTATGGTATTACGATTGCAAGCGAATGGCCACATTCTGTCCTGCAATTGCTCCGGGAGGCAGGGCTCTCCACGAGACACTCATGCAGGAGCTGACCTTTAGCTAGCATCCTCCAACTGTGACCCAATCAAACATAATGAGTTTAGAACAGGGCTCAGAATTGTTTTCTTCTCTCTGCCTTTTTTTTTTTTTTAAATCCCAGCCTTTATCGGTATTTTAGCAGAAGGCTGTTTTTCCTTCTGCACTTATTTATATTTAGCCTGAGCATCCTGTTAATTACAGAGCAGTTACAGGAGAATTAGGGACACTATATATAAATTTGCCATTTATGCAAATTGTAAAGAGAGAACAAAGAAAAATTAGCTTAATTAGTGTAATTGCTAAAAAAGCGAGAGGCGAAGCAAACAGGGCTTTAATCAAAGAAGAAGCAGAGGAAGTCTCAAGGAAATGGTGACCCAAATCAGCACAGATCCAAGGGCTCTGACCTTTTATGATCTAAGACCTTGCAGAGCTGTTGGGGTGACTTGAAGCCATGGCAGGGAGCTGCTGGGGGTTCCCAGTATTAAAACACCCTGTGGTTTCCTGAGAAATGGAAGAAAACCCATGAACTTGGAAAGCTGCTGTGTGCATGTGAGTGTGGGCACCAAGGAGCGTTGGGGACAGGGAGAAGCACATGATACCCTTGGCACCATCTGTCCAGAAAACACCTACTCAGCACCTACTATGTGCTGGGGACTGTTTAGATGCTGGAGACACAAATTGAATTAGATGTTGTCTCTGCCTTCATGGGACTGGGAGAGAGAGGAGGAAAGTCCAATCAACAAATGACTCATGAAGGGCAATGTAGAGGGGCCTGCAGGATAAGGCAGCCAGAGAGAGCAAAGAAAATTGGAGGAAGTCTACTTAAATTTTAATTTTACATAAACAAAAATATATTTTTCGTCTAAGTATGTTCATGCAATATTTAGGGCAAACTTAACACTTAAAAGGTTATTTGTTGTTCATTTGAAATTCACACTAACTGAAGATCCAACGTCTTTCCTGGAAATCCCCAAGGAGGCACAGAGGTGACCCCCCACACCCCTATAGCCCCAGAACTATAGGTCACAGAAACATCCAGAACTTTCCCTGAATGCAGAAAAATGTCCCCTGGCAAGTGCATTTTCCTTCATCCCTGGTGTCACATCAATGGAGACATAGAAAGAGCACTCTGAGACAAACAGAAGCTGGGCTTCAGGTGACAGTCAGAGGACTTCTGAGGACACGGGAGTCTGTATGTGTATTTGTCCCTGACTCCCAGAATCTTCAGTAGAACTATCAGACAGAACGGTCTGTGAGCACCAGGTCTTCTGCTTTCCACGGAGACCAAAGAGGGGGCTCAGAGTACCACCTGTGAGCAGATGTGCTGTGCCTTGTGCTTAACCCACATGAGGTCGGTGATATTGTCCCCATTTCATAGACATGGGGAAAGGCACAGAGATTCAGTGACTCCAGGGAGAGCGGCTAAGAGGCACTAGGGCTGGGATTTAACCCAGACAGGCTAGCTCCAGAGCCTGAGTCTCACGCTTTCCGCTTCACCTACCACACAGGATTTGTGGGCCGGCAGCAAGACAACCGGCAGAAAACCTAATCAGCCATCCCATGTCATTTTACTTAGGAGATAACAAAAACAAACTAGCCTGTGTGCATGGGAGTATTCTGTGGAAATAAGGAGGCACACATTTGCCACATGGTCCACTGGAAAGAAGGGATCCCAGCCCACGTTCAGTCTCTCTCCACCACGTGTGGTTAGCCACATGAACAGCAAAACCAAGGCCGCCCACTGTGAGGCCTCTGGTTTCCCACTCTGGGACTCATAGTAATAACACAGTTGTGCCCAGCTATTCAACAAGTGCAATACCTACCCCAAGTCACAGCCCAGAGAGAGTCTTAACTCAAAATTCATGGAGATCAGTGATGCATGGAGGCCGACCAAAGCCACATTGCTGAATGGAACTACATACGATTTGCTTTTTTTCTTTGTACAGGGGACACCTGACGAGTTCTGATCTCTGCTTTTCTCAATAAGTAACTGGTAAGGATTCTTAGCCAACAAACAACAACAATCTTCAAAGTGATGGTTGGATCCAGTCCCTTTGTTTTATGTCCCTCATGCAGATTATCTGCTCCTGTCACATAGTGACTTGATATTGGTCATACCAAGCTCCCAGTCTTCACTCCTACACTGGCCAAAATCACAGTCTTCCCAAGCCTGCCTTCCTCCCTGGAGCAGAACTCGGGTGAGGACAGACCTCTATGGCTGTTCTGGACTCCAGACTTGGCAAGAAGGATCAGCCTGCTGGAGACAGTGGTTTCAATTCTACCTTTTCCTTAGGAGGAGGAGTTGGTACATTCCTGGAGACTACTGGGGAAGCCTAAACACGGAACCCACCAAGGGAATGGGAGTAAAGTAATTCACAGGGTTGAGAACTGTAACTATTTGATATTTCCAAGCTGCTTTGCTCTGTCTTTTATTCATTAAGGATTTCTTGGTTGCAAGAAACAAGAACATATAAACAGCAAGCAAACGCATATTTTGAAAAACGGTGCAAGGGTCCAACTGATCCACACAAGCTGAAGACACAGCTCAGCCTCACAAGGGACAGGAACCAAAATATGAGTTATGTCATCCGTGTGGGACACCACACTGTCTTGTGTCTGACTTTTAGGATTGAAGTAGCAGAGAATAGAAATGGTCACCCTAACTCCTCATGATCTCACAATCCAAGCATCTAATACTCTGTGGCATAGTTCAGATTACTGAGAAAAAAAAATGAAAGCAAAAACAGGGAAAGAAATGGGAGAAGAAGAGAGACCGGCTCAATGTGGCCTGTGACTTACTTTGTCGGGAGTCATTTGTCAACCTTTGATCCATCCACCCATAGCAATTAAGAGTAATTTCCAGTGTAGACAGGGTGACTAGGTTTGTGGGTCATGGATTCCTCAAGACGGGCAGACACAGGGAGGACACAGTCGTCTTCGCTGTGGCACTGACTTTTCCTCTCTGCCCCTTGGACAACATCGTCACAGTGGCTGACATCCGCCATGACATCCTCCTCTCCTGACCAGGAGCCTGGATGTCTCACACCTGCTTCACTGGTTCCGGGGTTGCTTTCTCCTTTGTCCCCTTTCTCTGGGGATGACATTTTCCGAAACAGCCTGAGGGCTTTTCATTTTGTTTTGTGTGGATGTTTCTATTTGTTCCTCCTGATGACACTGTATTTTTCTTTTTGTCTTAGGGTGCCATCCTGTGTTGTGTCCCTTTGTGATTAAGGCACATGATGGTGATGGAGCTTCCCCACTCCTGCTCATGGCAGATAAATCATGGCCTTCTCCTCAGCCGGAAAGACACTTGGGAGAGACACTCGCGCAAGAGAACAAGGATGAGTCCACGCACTGCGGTTCGTGCCACCAAGTGTGGCATATGTACCAGCCAGCACTGATAGTTGGGGACTCCAAGTCACGGGATGATAAATGTCCACAGGAGAAAACTTATGAGTACAGTTTCTGAAAGAGCCAACATCAACCTCCCTGCCTTCTTCTGTATTTTCATGGGCACAGACAGATTTATTCAGGAGAGCAGAGACACATTCCAGGGAGAACAGGGTCTATCTCAAGAAAAAGATGTCTTTGGGGCAAAAATAAGAAATACACACTCATGGGAGAGTTCAGGCCATCTTGAGGGTGAGAAGCCCTTGGAGTAAAGCAAGGGACATACATTCATGGAAGAATGCGGCCATCTCAGGCAGAGAGAGACAACCCCTTGGCATGGAGGGTTAATATTTATGGAGGGACAGGGGTTAATATTTACAAAGGGAAAGACGGAACCAGGTGGAGTAAAGCAGCTTTATGCTCATTTCCTTCATCCCCGACCCCCACACTCTTTTTCTTTCCCCAGTCCTCACCTCTTACCCTCTGGTTTTCCTCTCTGTGCTACAATCCAAGTGAGAGCTGGAGGCCTCTCTCTATGGGGCTCCTGCAAGCCCTGTGTAAACTTCAGGTGGTTCTGGCTGTAAGTAGACCTCCCCACAGGGGGCTCTGGGTCTGACTACAGCTGAGATTGAAATACGGTATCACTCTGGATGTAGAAGCATCCAGAAAACCTCACCAGGACTCGGGTACATCTGCCCCACAGCTCTAGGTGAGAACACCACTGTATTTATTTTGGCTTCAGTCCTTTTCTTGGATTTAAGCTGCTGAGGAAGATGTGCTTTAAGATTAACCAAAGGCTGAATGTTTTCTCTAATATGCAGATGCTAATCACAATAAGGCGGGGGGGGGGGCACTAGGGAAAAATAGCGTTACCTTAGAATAGGTAGAGGGAAGTGATGGGAGGGGAGGGGAGGGGATGTGGGGATAGGAAAGACAGTATAATGAAACAGACATGATTACTGTATGTGTATATGTGACTGCATGACCAATGTGATTCTCCAACATGCACATTCAGAAAAAGGAGAAATTATATCCCATCTTATAATATATCAAAGTGCATGAATGCATTCTACTTTTTAAAAAAATTTTAAAAAGATTAACAGAGATAAATGTGCCCAGAGAATGGATTCCAGGATGGCGGCAAGACTTGAGACAATCACATGAGGACAGATGAAGGAGCTGGGGTGTGGAACCAGAGGAGATGGAGTGGGGAAGCCTGGGATGTCTGAAGGGCTGGTACCTGTAAAGCAAGAACTTGCCCCAGTACCTCCAGTGGGTAGGACCAGGGCCAGTGGGAAAAAGCAGATGAGCCGGTTTCCTTGTTAAATAGGAGTTACACATTTTAATGTCTATATTAATAGTTATTCTTTAATGATTGGCCATTTCTGGATTGTGTTTGAACTTGGCGATTGAGTTCTCCGCCGGGAGTGATGTCTCTGGTGGCATATTTGACAACTCGTGGATGTGGTAAGTCCAGACAACATGACCAGCTGTGCTGAGGTCCTCTTTTATCCCTTAAGTGTCCTTCTGGAAATATCCAGGGCCCCATGTCTTATCCCATTTCCCTGAAGGGCCACCATCCGTGCCAGGTTTTCAAATGCTCATTGTCAACTTTGGTGCCGTGGAATAAGGGTCTCCACAGGAATCAGACACGCCCCTGCCCCCCTGGTGCTCCAAACCTGGTAGAAAAGTCGTGAGAAAAAGAGCACAAGGGTGAATTTGAGGCTCACTGACTTCCAGGTCCACCTCTCAGGTTCCATTGAGAAGAGGCCTTGTCCTGGGACCTCCATGCAGAGGGAACTGAGAAGTTACCAGCTTCACTGGAGAAGGAAGGTGAGAGCCACCTGCTCACCCACCTCCTCTTCTTGGTCACTAGCAGAACACGTCAACCCCTGCACCAAGGTGGGGGTGGGCCCACCTGGATGGGTTTTTTAAAAAGGAATTTATCTAGTGAGCTGGCAGATGCCTTTAAATCTTTATTATCTCATTTGATAATCCCAAGGACTGAGGGAGGTAAGACCCCCATTTTGACTATTTTAAGATGAGGGGATTAAAGTTCAGAGGGTTTTATCAGCGACCTGTTTTCACACATCAAGGAAGCCCAGAACTCCACAGCTCCTTCTTCAGAACCTGAATCCTATGACAAAGCCTATCCTTGCCCTGAATCTGAGGGGTATTTTAGGAAGTAGCAGGTGGGGGTAGTGGGTAGCGCACTCTACCCTACCTATTATTTGTAATTTAGGAAAAATAAGGCTGACCTCTGTGGATGAAATTGTAAAACCGTTGAAATCCACTTCACCATGAAAATTAAAGGCCACCCTAAGGTAAAAGAGCTCTGCAAACAGGAGAGCAACTGTACAACACACAGCACAGTTCCAGCCCCTTGGGAGCCTTACCAGGGAAGGGGGCTGGTGCACAAATGTCCATAGAGAAGTAAACTCTGGAAGCGTTTGGGAATATTCCTGAGAATGTGCCATATAGAAGTTTTCAATTGAGCTTATGGAGAGCAAATTCCTGTGTTTTGTGGACTGCAGACAAAGGATAATGGATCCTACCAACTTATTTGTACTAGCACTGGCCCAAGGAGTAAATGCCACTAAGAGTAGATGGAGTCACAGAAGAGGTTTCTAAATGGACATCCCTCTCCTCTGCTGGTTAGAGCCTGGTACAGGAAAAGGAAGAGGAAGCAGGTCTTTTTCTGTAGACTCTGGCTAGTGGTGCATCCCGGTCTCTTCACAATTGGAGGAAGGAGGATTATCACTAATCAATAGATGTAAGACTTTTTGAATGGAAGGGATGTAAGTTCTTTAAGAATAGCAGGGTTGCCTGGAAAGAGGACTTTTAGCCTAGACTTGTTTATAATTTACATGGAATTGCAAGATAAAGGATCTATTACATTTAGCTATTGGTGTATAACAAGTTACTACCAAGAGCAAAAGCAATATAACAACTTGTTATTATTTTTCTTTTTATAAAGTTTTATTAGCGCATTATAATTGTGCCTAGTGGTGGGATTCATGTGCCATTCATATATGCACATAATTTGCACCAATTAATTTCCCATTATTCCCCATTCCTCTCCTCTTCCCTCCCTTTGTTACCCTTCCTCCACTCTTTTGATCTTATATTTATTTACATGTATATTTTTTCATTAGTACATTATAATCATAAATAAAAATGGGATTCAATGTGGTATATTTATACTTGTGTTCTTCCCCTCTCCTACCCTGTCCCAAATTCCTACCTCTCCTCTATTGATCTGGGTTCAACTTTTATGAGATTCTCCCCTCTTTTAATTCTCTTCTTCCTCTCTCTCTCTTCTGCATATGAGAGAAACATTTGACCAGTGACTTTCTGATTCTGGCTTATTTCACTCAACATGATGTTCTCCGGTTCCATCCATTTATCAGCACATGACACAACTTCATACTTATTTATGTCTGAGTAAAACTTTATCTTGTAAATACTCCACATTTTCTTTATCCATTCACCTGTTGACAGGCACCCAGCCAGGTTCCTTAACTTGACTATTGTGAATTGCACTGCTGAAGACATTGGAATGTGGGTGTCGCTAGGACATGCTCATTTCAGTTCTTTGGATAAATACCAGGGAGTGGGATTGGAGCTTCACATGGTGGATCCATTCCTAGTTGATGCTGCGAGTTGACTGGGCTCCACAAGATGGTTCTCATTTGGCATCTCTCACGTGGCAATCAGAGCAGCTGGAAGCACAGTCTTCACGAGTCCACCTCTATGAAATGACCTTTTGGCTCACTCCCAAGCCTGCAGGGGATGCTGGCTGTCCACTAAGACCTCAGTCGTGACTCTTGGTCACAGCACGAGTGGCAGCTCTTTGTGCCTGGGCCTTCTCAAAGCGGTAGTTGAGCTGAGAATAGGAGTGTGGTCAGAGCAAGAGTTCCAAGAAATCCAGGCAGAAGTTTCACGGATTCCTGCGACCTAACCCCAGAGTCTTGGAAGGCCACTTCCACTAATGAAGATCAGGTGTGAGGCAGAGGGCTCCTCGTTGGGTATACAAGAATGAAATGTCACAACATGGGCCCTTGGAAGGTGACAACTAATCAGAGGAACATTGTGGAAGTCTGGCTTGGCACAAATCAGGAGCCACTTGTCAAAAAGAAACTAACTTTATTTTTAGAACTACAAACGCCAAACAAAACAGCTCCAGGGAAAAACCCTCAGAGCCCAACTGCCACCACCGGCTTCCACAAGCCTCTCTCTCCCACACCAGCCTCTCAACCTCCCCCAATCCTCCTGCTCTTGAGGCCGATTGGCTGGGTTGCGTGGGCAGAGCCAAAGAAGTCACCCAATGAGCAGCTCCGTGGAGGAGCCAATCAGCTAGATGTTGCTGGGGCCGCTGTGAGCCAATCATCAGCTGGCAGTCTGGAGGGCTGGGAAACAGCCCAATGAACATCACCGCAGAGGAGCCAATCAGCTAGATGTTGCTGGGGCCACTGTGAGCCAATCATCAGCCGGCAACTGGAAGTTTGCTGGCAGCTGGATCATCAGCCGGCAGCTGGAAGTTTGCTGGGGCCCCTTTGGCTGTGGCTCTCAACAGAACATACATTGACTAAATAGAGTGCTCTGATAAACATCCGTCCAGGTCATGATGCGGGCACAAACAAAGAAAGCATTTAAGAGGGTGAGGTATCAGAGTGGGCTTCACGGAGGAGGAGATTTCTTGGACAGAGGCAGGAAGATGTTGTTTGGTCTGGGCAGTGTGTGGGGAGGTGTAGGGAAAGCACTTGGTACGAAAAGAATGAGAACACCACACAATGGAACAAAAGAGATGGTCTTTGCGTTCTGGGAACAGTAAGACATCCAACACAGAAAATCCACAGAGTGGAACTGTGTTTGCACCAGGTGGTGACATCAGCCATCTGGAGAACTGCTTGAGTGGGTTAGCTCAGAAACACAGCTCAGCTCTCGCAGTGCTCCTTGATTCTACAGTGTGCTCTACGCATCGTGAACGCTAGCCTATCTGGAGGGGTGGCAGGCAGGTCAGGAACACGGAGTACTTCCTGGTCAGGTTTTTGAAGGCACGCATGCTGGTAGGATTGGTTTTGTCAAGATTGT